TTTTTTTTTTTTGAGGCAGAGTCTTTATCGCCCCCAGTAGAGTGCCATGACGTCATAGCAATCTCAGACTCCTGGGCTCAAATGATCTTCCAGCCTCAGCCTCCTGAGTAGCTGGGACTACAGGTGCCCACCACAATGCAGGTCTCACTCTGGTGCAGGCTGGTCTTGAACTCATGAGCTTGGGCAGTCCACCCACCTTAGCCTCCCGGAGTGTTAAGGTTACAGGCATGAGTCACTGCATCCTCCCTAAGACCACATTTTTAGACCAGGCCTCTAACATGACAACACACTCCAGAACTGAGCACTTTCTTAGCCTGCACCTGCCAATGGACTGCACCTTTTTGCTGTATGGGAATGGTTTCTTGCTGGTCCACTAGCAGTTAGAGGTAGGTCCTTCACTGAATTACTACTGTGTGCATAGTTCTCCTGGAGGCCTCAGGATTTGGGGCATGAGGTTGTTTTTTCTAATGGTTCTATCTTCCTTTCTTGGCTATAAAATTCAGTTTAATGATACTATGGATGAATCAGAGTCCTGAGATTGTGGCATTTGAAAAGAGACAAGTAGGGGTTGCGATGTTTCTGTAAGTTATTCAGCATAAAGGTTTGTTGTAGTTGTGCAGCTGTTTTTTTTTGTTTGTTTGTTTTTTGTTTTTAGAGACAGAGTCTCACTTTGTCGCCCTTGGTAAAGTGCTGTGGCATCATGGCTTACAGCAACCTCTAGCTCTTGGGCTTAGGTGATTCTCTTGCCTCAGCCTCCCAAATAGCTGGGACTACAGGCACCCACCACTACTCCTGGCTATTTTTTTTGCAGTTTGGCAGGGCTGGGTTTTAACCAGCCACCCTTGGTATATGGGGCCACCGCCCTACTCAGCCACAGGCAACCGCCATGTGCAGCTGTAGTTTTTACAAAGAACTTCCTTGTCAGCCCACCTGATGTAATTTGAGGCAGGCAAAGCAAGAGGATAAGAGGTACTGGGATCCTAAGGTCCTGGAGGGGAAGTGATGTCTCCTGGATTCTAGCCCATGTAAGACCCCTGAAGGAGGAGGATTTTTTAGGAGACACAGCACTGAAGCAGTGTCCTGTACAGCCAGCCCAGGTTGACAGGTGGAAAGACTGTACTGGTGGACTTCATTTTCTGGGAAAGACAAGGGAGGGTCTGGGGAAACTTATGGAAAGGCAGCTGCGACTCGACCTGAAGCAGAAAAGGTGGGGATTGAGTAGTTAGGAAGGAGAGTGTTCTAGGGGAGTAGTTTAAAGGTGGGATCACTGAGGGACAAGAGATGACAGTGGAGATGCTCCAGAGAGTTTGACAGCAAGTACTTGGCATTGATTGGGGCAGGGCACGGTTGAAAGTACTTGGCTAGGTGCTTTGGCAGCCATGTTCTGCAGGAGCCAGGGTTTCCAGCAAGGAGGGTAGCCAGCCCAAGCACACTTTTCTGTAATGTACTTGTTTCT